TTGCTAACAATTTAAAATGCTCGCAGATGGAAAGCAACCGACCGGAAAAGATTGTCTTGAATATATCAGCTTCAAGAAATTCAAATGTTTACCTATTTCGGATACTGCTATGAGCACATCGAAGAATGAACGGGAACTTAACGATCACAGAATTTGGAAGACGCATTGTTTTATGGATGTAGCCATAGTTAGCTGTGATGAACTTTGCATCTAAAAAATATGCTGCATGGGTTATCGTGAAAAAGACGTGAAAAATGGGATCAAATAGGCAAAACTATAGTATTTTTCACTGCAAACATATGTTCTGCAAGTGTTGAATATCAAACAGATACAGATGTTCACCAACTTATACATCATGAACATCCTAAGATCGGCAAGGATTATCAATAATAATCACATAGATGTTCATAATAAATAATAATTCATAAACTTACCCATCATGAACACCCTAGGATCAGCGAGGATTATCTGTTTGATTTCCTTTGGAGTGAACTCGAACTCCTTGTTTAATAAAGTTACGAGACGCTGCAATAGTGATATATGCTTTTGCTGAATATGTCAGAGCGTGAAGCATGAAAAGTGATAACTCTAAAAACTTTTTGTGTACCTGCAAAGGACCCAATCCAAACATGAGAATTCGAGCTTCCTTGCGGATAAGATTTCGTACTTCATTGCCGGTTAACATAAACTGCTGCTGAATCCATCCTAATCGGGAATCCAATGTTTTTACATCAATATTTAGCCAATACCTGTGATAGTAACGGTAAAATTTACTCGCCTTCAATCTCAACTCCATTATTTAAACTCAAACCTAAAATCATTTATTATTTTGCAAACGTCTTTGTTCGAGAACTTCATCGAGGTCAGATAATTCACACGAGCCTTAAAGTGGTCTAATGAAAATCAGAATCGAGAAGAGGATAAAACGTATGTCAAGCTGCAACACCCACTTGCATATCATTCAAATCCTGGAGAAGAAAAAAAGGATTGCGTGTGAGGTAATCTGCGAGATCATTGGGCTCAAAACCAAGCGAAAGCAGCCATTGAAGCTGAGTAGGAAAAAAAAACAATTTGAAGAACTAAAAA